TACGTAGGCTATCTCCTGTATCATAACATTCTTAATTCATTCTTTGCTGCCATTGTACAAGCTTGTTTGCTCGCTCACTGCTGTTTTCGCATATGATTTGTGTTTTGCAGTGCCGGAATCCCTCGCTATACAAATGGGTTAGGTTCCTGAAAACCCATTCGTTGAGTAAATTTTTGTATATCGAATAGAAGATCATATGAAAAAAATGGGGTTTGGTTCCCCAATGACAAGAAAACCCCAATTTCATACACGAAATCAGTTCACGTACAGCAAAAATCCTACTTAACTAATGATAAATAGTACACAATACTGTAATTTACTTCCTAACACATTAAAAATATTACTAAAATACTGTATAACTTTGGTACATTACATTATGGGAGGGCAGTCTGGGCTCTCCACAAGGGGGTAAGTAGGGGTGGGATGAGTAAGGGCCTTACTCAGCAAAATGAGGAGGGCTGTCTGCCAAGGACACCACAGTCACACCAGAGGTAGAAGGAGGGGAAGAAAATCTGCTGGTAGAGGTAGTGGGACTGGAAGCTAAAGATGCAGGATGCAGTTTGAAGCTGGTAAATTGTCTTATTTTACTCCTCAGCTGTTGTTAAATCTGTGTAGACTCTGATGGCTCTTTCCACACTAAAGCAACTGCACCACTCCTTTCCATGTATGGTCCAGGCACAGAAAAAGTTGAACCCCTTATGGATGAGGTCAAGGTCTTCTAGCCCTCTGGCTGCTCTTCCTCTTCTTCATGAAGCTTCTGCTGCTGGAGCAGATCCTGAACATAACCCTGTCCGCCTCCTCAGCAAGGTTAACAATGTCTTGCCGCACTTTTCCTACATAATCGTGCACGCACTCATGCCAAATCCTACGCCACACACTCCGTTCATGATTTGTTGAGACACTTCCTTCCAAGACTCGATGTGGTCGATGGCTTTCTTGACATTAAAGGCCTTCCAATATTCCTTGAGTTGGTTTGGTTGTCAGCAGTCTGGTGCACAAGTTCCCACATCGTGTAGCCTTGAAGGTGGAAATGACACCTTGATCCATGGGTTGGATGAGCGAGGTGGTATTAGGTGGCAGAAACATCACCTCGATGTTGTCTGTCCACTCTTCCATGCTAGATGGGTTTGTAGAAGCATTGTCAAGGAGGAGGAGGAAGTTGTTGTTCTTGGCACAACACTCCTTGCATATGTTGAAGAGGTAATTAATGACGTAATTTTGCATCATTGCCGTTGTCACCCACATCTTTTGGTTGGAGCGTCAAATAGCAGAAGGAGGCTCCTTGTAGAATCCTTGGGTTCTTTTAGTGGTAAAAAAAACTTGGGCTTCAGCTTTAGTGTTAACACCAAGTAAAAGGGTGAACCTCTCATTGGTTACCTTGAAACTGAGTACAGTATTCTCTTCCTGAGCAATGAAACCACCTTCCTTAATTTTCTGCTTCAGGAGTTCTGGGAAGGCTAATGCAGCTTGGGTGTTAGCACTTACAGCTTCCTTAGTCAGCTTCAAGTTGTTTAGATTTGCCCGACACTTGAACCTCTCAAACTACCCAGAACTGTCCTTAAAATCACTCACAACAGTTACCTGGTCAGGTGTGAGATTACTCATGCAGTCTTCCCACAATGACAAAGCCTTCTCGTTGATGATGAGGGTGGATAGGGAGAAGACGCTCCATGTTGTTCATCACAGAGTCATAACTACGGCTTGGCCTGCTTGCTCCTACGTGTAACTTTTCAGCTGCTTGCTTGATCTCAGCATCATGCTTGTAAATTGTGGTGACAGAAGAAGCAACCATGCCAAGATCTTTCCCAATCTTCATAGGGCCATCACCACATTCATGATGCTTTATTACCTCCAACTTGATGTCAAGAGTCACAGCCTTTCATATTTTCTGCAGTGTAATATGGGTAGCCAAAGATTCAGCAGAACGCTTGAATGCCATAACGAATAGTGGAAGGAAAGACGTGGGCCAAATTCTTATAAGTGGTGGAAACTTTTCTAACTCAAAAAATAGGTGTTAATTTAGGAAATTGTTTTAAGTTAATTTTCTTAACAAATGTTCGTACAATATAGCGAGGGATGCCTGTACTGTACCAGCATATAATCAGTGTTAAGATGTAAAGCTAGATTACAATTATGTGTACTATACAGTAAACCCTCCAGTTTGGCGACTAATTGGTGCCAAAAAACCATCACCAAACCCAGAATCGCCAATCCAGAAAGCTTAATCCAATGGGAAAAAGCCTAATTGATACCGAGGGGGCCACCCAAAGTCTCAATTTTTTCTTATTTTACCCACATATAACCTATATTTTATTGCTGAAAGAGAATGAATAAGTAGTTAATCAACATAAACATAGAAAACCAACCTTAAAATCAAAGTTGAGGAGCTTACTGTACACGAAGCTGGTATCTGAGGCTGGGGAAGGAAGGCTAACGTCCGTCACCCCCCACCCAAGTCTCCAGTCTCTCCCCTCCCCCCTCCTCCCTCCTCCCTCCTCCCTCCTCCACCACTGCCTCTGCCACCACTAGATCAAAGCCTTCAAAATAAAAGTCCTTTGGCAGGCTCAATCACATCTACAGTCTTTCTCTTATCCTCAAATGAGTACTTTTTCACTTTCTTTCCAACTCGATACTCATGAAAATTTTTCGTCTTTGTTTTTACCCCATCATTTGAACTGTCTGGGCGCTCAGACGGTCTTTCACCACCAGTATCATCCACTCCAATACCCCCAGGTACTTTTGAGGCCATTAATCTGCACGAGAACACCGCGCCAAGCGAGAGTGAATAAAAAAAATGCACACAAAGGAAGTCACTCAAACAAACGGCGGGAATGTGGTTTGACGTAGTCAAAATGGCTGCCTGAACAGCTGACTGGCGCTTTGCGCTTGGTATATGCTCACCAGTAGTATGATGCGAGATTTATCTTGCACTTATTATTCTACAATTATTAGTTGTGATTGCATTTAAATTTAAACTCTCACCAAAGGTGAGGGTTTGGTCGCCAAAATGGAGGGCAAACAGAAAGTCGCCAAACTGGAGGGTTTACTGTACTGTATATTCAGTAAGTGGGAAAGTACTGTACATAGCAGCATGGACAGTGTATGCTAGTGTGTAGAAGGTGTATGCACAGTTGCTAAAAAAAGTATCTGATGGGTGGGTCCGATGACTTCCAAAATTATACATACAAATCGTTGGTATGCATGTCTTCACCCACTGCCATTCAGTATCCAACGCAGGGGGTGAGTTGACATATAGGAATAGAATAAATGGTTAATTGATTATTATCACATAGTATAAAGAGATAACACACACATCCCAATACCTATCGTCTATGGTCTCGGATACTTTTTTATACCTAATGTAAAGTATACTGTACAGTGCCTGTCCAATCCTGCCTTCATGGAGGGAGAGGAGAGTAACAATTAGCAACACCTGGTACAGTAGATGGTACAGGACAAAGGCAGGCCATCCTGTAGTATCATAATTATCACCATTTGGCCTGCCTACATGACAAGGTCAAGATGACAGTATCTGCTGGTCTGTACAGTACTGTATAGTATATACATTATTATAATTTGTTTATTTACAATATATTGTATGTGTACAGTGGTGTTTGCGTAAGTAATTACTGTAAAGCTTTGTGTCTGTCCATGCAATATGCATAGTTTAGACTCTGGGAAAACTTTCCCCAGTACATGTATAGGGTGGAAAATTCCAGAGGGTGGAGGGATTTCTGAGTCAAGCTGCCTAAGAACACCAAACCTACTGTAATTTTTAACCTAGACTTAGGTAACACTCTCAGGGTTTTTATACGCTTGAGTCTCTCATATGCTCTCAGCAATTGGTTTTGCCGGGAGCTTTCATACACTTGGCAACAGTGTGTACTGCCTCGGCTGATACACAGCTCTATTCACGCCTCGCACCCCAAAAATATCTCCATTTGATGGCCTGTATTATATAGATTTTTTGTACTTTATATACAGTATATTTATTTAAACAAACTTTTTGATAAACTCTTCAGGATTATATAAATTTAAAAAAAAATTTTGTTTTTAACCTAATTAGAATTTATTTTATAGACTGGTACAGTACAGTACAGTACAGAGGAGAGAAGAGAGGAGACAAGACAAGATGAGACGAGGAGTACCTACATAATAGTCTCCTCTCCTCTCCTCTCCTGTATGTGTAATAAAAAGTTTCAGGGATCGAAGATTTCAACTAGCAAGGATATTATTACTGTATTGTTTTAGGTATGTGTCAAAATAGCTGGGGAGTTGTGGCACCCCTGCATTTCTCACACTTCTCACCAACAATATCATTATTTCTACTCACCATTTGTCTTACTATTATATATACCTAGCCTCTTGCATCCACACTATTCAGTATGCAAGTGCATCCTGTTCATGCTTCTGAATAAGTAATAATATATTACCTACAGTGCCTCACTCTTCTAGAAAACTCCCCTCTGAGGGGATGGCCACAACAGAAGAGCCTCCAGGCCACTTTATCACTACAGATATCCCTTGCCCTCTCTATTCCTCATAGCCCCTCCTCTGTTTTAACTTTATGTATTGCTCCACCTCTCCTTCCCTTGATGTAACATAGTCTCCTACACAGTGCACGTGCTACACTGTCCTTTTACACTGAATATCTTTACTGTCACATAAGTAATCACCTCATTGTTGGATAACTTAGTCTCTAGGTGTGACTGGATGATGAGTTACTAAGGCATAAAATGTGTTATTCACTTGAGTCATGCATCCTGTCTATGAACTGTTGTACCCCATGACAGTGGTAAGTTTTGTCATGGGATGTCAGCATTGTAAGAGTGCTTAGAATCATTTAGATTTCCCAACTCTTCAACTTGTGATTTCTCTTACAGTAACTGAGTACTGTACCTGTACAGTAATTGCATTTTATGCATTCATATTGTTTTCTTTCAGAGATGTCTTAAAAAATAATTGGAAAGACAGTTCATTCATATACCTATCTCCTCTAGGGTTGCCGCCTGGTGCATCAATACCTTTGAAAAAGGATCCCAACGATCCCAATGATGACTGGTGTGCTGTTTGTTGGGATGGGGGTGATCTTATATGCTGCGACTTCTGTCCCAAGGTTTGTGTACATCTTTTAACTTCTGTACCAGTGATCTTCAAGGACTGAAAATAATGTAGTCATTGAACCATGACTTCTTGTATTCTTGACAATTGTGTTTAAGGGAGTGGAGGAAATATATAGCAACAGTGGGGTGAGGTGGTGATCATTGAGGCCTCAGTCGCTTTGGAAATATAGCCGTAAGAAGTGATAATGATGCCCTGTATCCCATTGATGTATTTTATATTTGGTCACTTTGGCAGGATCACCACTTCATTATTTACCACTCAGTCACCGAAGGAATATTCAATAGATTTGTTTTAAAGATAGATGTTGATATTTGGTAGAAAATCTTGACCCTTAATCAGCAGCCATCATCAGTGGAAGTTAGCTGTAGTGACAATGACCATCATCAGTGGACATGTCATGTTCCTTGTGTTTCATTTTTGCACATAGGGAAGTGGAGAAGGGAATCCTTAGGCTGGTTGAGAATAATTCCTAGAATTTTATGAATACAGTGTTACCCCTCTGTACCAAAATTTCCGATACTGTATACCAAAACGCTCCACAGATTCCAGTATTACCTCTATACGAAACAAATTTGCTATATACCAAGCCCCTCCTCAAATGCTGTTTTCGAATATAATACTGTAATCTAATAGTATTAATAAAATTACTATGGGTATTTTAAATTACCCTCCCCTGTACAGTTCCTCCCTGACTTATGACGGGGTTAGGGACCCAAATCCAGGTCGTAAGTCGAAAATGCTTAAATAATACATAGGAAATCTAAAATGGGTGTCTCTTTTTCTTCTCAGCACCACAAAACTCTCACTCTTAAGCTTGCCAGCCATTTTAAAGTGAATTACAAACAAAAATTTTGTCAGTACACCGTGCAATCACCGACATTGGGACTCGAAAATACGTAATTTGACAAAATTTTGGTACGACTGAGGCGGTCGTATGTCCGGGTGGTCGTAAGTCGAGTAGGTCGTAAGTCGGGGAGGAGCTGTAATGGGAAAATCCTCTCACAAATAATAAGAAACTAATATAGTATTAAAAATGTTGAGTCTGTCTACTCCGTGCTTTATTAATAACAAGGTTATACCGTATATCACGGCCTATAAGACGAAATTTGAACATTAAAAAAATCTGCCCAAAGTTAGGGGGTCGTCTAAACCACCAAGTTTAAAATTCTTACCTCTTAAATATTGTGGTTTAGTGTGTCAAGAGTGGTGATGAAAACATCGTAAGCCACTCACAAGGTCTTACCACTAATTATTTTATACTGAAACTTACGTTTGGCAAGCTGGATTCAAATTAAGATTACCGGTATATTAAAATAATAAAAATGTATTATAAACCTGTCTAACATACCGTAAAAGAGATTTATACCCCTGTAATAAACACAGCTATCATCACACACCCCTCCCCACGCCCCCCCCCATTTGCCAGTGAGGAGACAAGAAAGGAAAAGTGCATTAATTCTTGAAACTATCGACGGTTAATTACAGACGCTCAAGTGACGTCACTAGTGTTTACACTACACCAGCTGGTAATATTTGATGCCATTACTTGAAGTGAATTGGCCTTATTTTAAGTAACTAACTATAAATAAATACAAAAATTAAAAAAAAAGATCAAAACTGAGAAATAATATACTGTATGTATGTTGTGTTGTCAAAGTAAGAGGAACAATTGTGTAAGTACGTAATATTTTTTCACTCAAATCCTAATGAAACACTACTGGAGAACATTCCTTTGTCGCAAAACAGTTTATAAATTAAAGAAAATAATTACAGTGTGTTTAATATATTACAGTATATTATAAATAAATAAATAAAACAAATAATTCGTAAATATTTAAAGTAAATGGAAAATAAGCAAACATGTTATTTACCAAGACCCTTCCGTCTGGCTCAGGGTGAGATGTAGGGGAGATAAAGAAGGCTATTTATAGCCCATCAGAAGTGGCTAGTACCCTAATGCACCATAAATAATTCATTGAACATTCATTTTTTGTACATAGTATATTCAGTATATATATATATATATATATATATATATATATATATATATATATATATATATATATATATATATATATATATATATATATATTATATATATATATATATATTTGTGTAATAAATGTATGTAGTAAGTACATACTGGTAACCTTTTTCACTCAAATCCTAATGAAACATCACAATTAGAATACGGTGGTTGCTGTTAACCACATGTTGTATAAATAGTCACACCACCCAGACGAGGGAACACTCCCACCACGCTTCAGTGACGTCACTAGTGTTTACACTACACCAGCGAGTATAATTTGATGACATTACTTGAAGTGAATTGGCCTTATTTTAAAAAATCAAGGATGGTTGGTAAAGGACTACTGAGTCAGTGGGTAAGTGTCACATTTGGGGTACTGGTCTTATACAGCAAATAGAGCTCAAAAGCTACTTTTTAAATGGAAATTTGGGGGGGGCGTCTTATGCACATAGGCCGTGATATATGGTAGTTAGTTGTGGTAGTGACAATGCAAAGATAATACCTCTGAAACATCAGGTGATCTGGTGCACAGGATGTATACGATCCCTGTACTGGACAGTTCCTAGTGAACATGCCCAGTACCGATAAGTATTTGTAATTTGTATACCTTAGGTTCCTATACGTATAAATATATCCTTTTGTATTAAATTAGGTAAATTTTATTGATAATACTAACAAATGTATGGTAATAGGTTCATAAAGTGATAGTGAGAAACATGATAGCATATAGCCAGTGATTTGGCTTTGCCAGTACAGTAGCCTATTAAATCTGCAATTTTTCTTCAAAATATACCTTGCTAATTATAGGGAGCATCTTATGACCTGGGCAATATGGTGCTCTACTGTCCTGTAGTGTTGACTCCTCGTGATCCCTGGCACACAGCCTCAGATTTATTTTATTTATTTTTCATGGTAATCCGAGAGTTCCGAGGGATGCAAGCTTTAAGGGAATACTGTATATTTTATGTTACAAAAATTATCCAGTATTGTGGCAATTTATCCGGACTAAAAGTAACAAACTTTTTTATACTGTATGCAGTCTCCAAACAAAGTTTTATGCCATAAAACTCCCTATACCTCCTGTACCAAACTGGCTGCTCACCAATTATTTCAGTATAGAGAGGTAATACTGTAATCTATGTTTTGCTACAACTAATGATCTCAATCTCTTCTTTCACCCAGGTATTCCATGTACATTGCCATATCCCAACTCTGACCCACATCCCGACTGAAAATGAAAAGTGGCAGTGTATGTTGTGTACAGACCTGGACAATTTGCAATTATTTGACAACAATGACAACTCTAAACGAAGATTAGGATTAACAACGCGTGATGTGAAAGTAGCCCAGAGAATACTGCTGGAACTCTACTGCAATTACGAAGCCTCACAACCTTTCCGGGAACTTGTGGATAGGGAGGTAAGTGACAATATCCTAAACAAAATGCTCCCCTATATAAAGAATGAGTCCAGTCACAGTTGGACCTTTCAATTACGGGTATTGAGAGTATCCAGGTGTAAACATGCAGCTGACCAGTACCCATTGTCTAGTGAAAGTTTCAAGTCTATTTATAAAGTTCTCTATACAACTACTTCCTGGCATCCATCATCTGATTATCATGGTCTTACCTACTACACAGATGAGTGATTTTATGGAGATGATGTTCTTAGGTCAGGTGTGGTTATAGGTCTATAATTCTTTCTTTGTGTCTCCTAAATATGTATACAGTATACAACTTCTATGGATTTTCCCCAACAGTTGACTGAATACTATGAGGTTATCAAACACCCTATGGCTCTTGAGATTGTGAAGCGGAAACTTATGCCAGACAACCCTGATCACTACGAGGGTCTTGAAGACTTTGTACGTGACATTCGATTAATCTTCAAAAATTGTTATGAGTTCAACCCAGTAAGTATATCATCTCCTAAGATTTGTCAGACATGGTTATATTGAAAATATTTTATTTTTAATGGTGTGTGTGTAGTGCTGCTTAACCTTGCTTGAGGTATCGGAAAAATTATTGTTGAATTGTAGGTGGTGATGAACTAAGATTTTTATTTTATTTTACAGTTGTACCCCGATTTACGGGGTCAATTGAACCCACAGGGTACCGTGTTAAGTGAAATCCGCGTAAATGGAACAACAGAACATATGGGATTAATTCCAATAGAGACTGGCCCGACCCCCAAACTCCACTTTTTGACTACACACAACTATGTTGTAGTAAAAATTTTATCTTAACTTTATGATGGTATGAACAAACAAGTAATATAGAAGAGGTTGGGTTAGGAAAAATAAAGGTTAAGTTAGGAAAAATAAAGGTTAGGTTAGGAAAAATAAGTTAGGTGTAACACTTACGTTAGTAGAAGACACACACTGCGCAACCTTACAGCGCGGCTTGCCCAGGCGGAGGGAGGGAGGAGGAGGGAGAGGCGAGGCAGGCGGGAGCAGCGGGTGGCGGGTGGGGCGAATCTAAAAATAGCGTCTCGAGCCGGACACTCTGCTCGTATATGGGTAGATGAACCGCGTTAAGTGAAAGTTCGGTTCTGGCGAGGCACCGCGTATATGAGAAATCGCGTTAAGTGAAACCGCGTAAAGCGGGGTACAACTGTATTTATTTTTTATTTTATTTTTTATATTTTTTTCTCCAAAGAAACGAATAGAAATCTGTATACTGTACAGGACCTGCATTTGTGTGGAAATTAGCCATAAGATGTTGGTGATGATAATGAATAATGATATAACACATTCCAATTCAGTAAACTTCCTTTAATCAAATTCAATGAACTTCCTCTAGTCTGGACTAATTGGGGGGAAAGCCTGCCCGAGTTGGGCTGGGGTCTGTATTGCACCCTAGAAAATTCCAGAGGGTGTGGGATCTCCAACTCAAGCTGCCTAAGAATACTGAACCCACTGTAATTTTTAGCCTAGACTTAACACCCTCAGGGTTTTTATATGCCATATGAGGGTGTTTTTTAAATACTTGCTTAGGGTATTAACATCTGTGGAAAACTGTTAATTTTTCCCAGTGTTTTATACGCTGTCGGCAGCTTGGTGCTGGTTCTCAGTACTAATGTAACTGGTGAATCACTGAACAGCTAGTATTGCCAGGATCTCTTATATGTCTGGCAGCATTATATATATATATATATATATATATATATATATATATATATATATATATATATATATATATGTTATATTGTTATGTTGGAAGAGCATATATATATATATATATATATAGGTTTTTTTTTTTTTTTTTTTTTTTTTTTTTTTTGTTAGCCAGAATACGCGGACTTCTATTACACCGGCTGACCAACCCGCCAGGATTCGAACCCACGGCTCACGAAGGACAGAATCGGGAACTAGTCTGGATCACCAGCAGCAGCCTTAGACTTCTGTTATATTGCCACGCAATGAGCTTATGGCGCAGTGACTGCATATATATATATATATATATATATATATATATATATATATATATATATATATATATATATATATATATATATATATATATATATATATATATATATATATATATATATATATATATATATATATATATATATATATATATATATATATATATATATAAGCTCGTTGAACAGGCTTTGTGTGAAATATAACAAAGTCTAGGACTGCTTTTAGTATCCTGGTGGTCTAGAAGTAGCGTTCCCCGGTCACAGCCGTGGGTTCGAATCCTGGCGGGGTGAGGTGTTGATTATATGTAGAAGTCCGCGTGCTTTATTGGGCTAATGAAATATATATAGATCCTCGTGTTTTGAAGCCGGATTTGGTAAAACGTTACTCTGACCACCTAAGTTATACGGGTGGGCCCCTTTAGAGGTTCACGGTGCCATAAGCTCGTTGAACAGGCTTTGTGTGAAATATAACAGAGTCTAGGACTGCTTTTAGTATCCTGGTGGTCTAGAGGTAGCGTTTCCCGGTCACAGTCGTGGTTTCGAGGTGTTGAGGTGTTGATTATATATAGAAGTCCGCGTGCTTTATTGGGCTAATGAAATATATATATATATATATATATATATATATATATATATATATATATATATATATATATATATATATATATATATATATATATATATATATATATATACATATATATATATATATACACACACACACACACACACACACACACACACACTGATAACCACATAGAAAAAAAAACACAAAGTTCCCAAGCGCTTTCGTGTTATTCACATTTTCAGGAGTGAGTACAGATTAAGGAGTAGTTACTGACAAGGCTAATATATACAGTAAAGGAGAGTGAGATCAAGTCCCTAGGGACAGCAGGTATCCACCATATTCAAGTCATTAAGGAGTGACCCAACCCTTTCATCTGGTTACAAATCTTCATACTCATAAAATTCTCTTAATTTGTACATGCCATTACTCAAATTCATGTTGACAGATTCATTATGTCAGGTAGCCTGTGCTGGGCTAGATTTCCTGCAATGGCCATGGAACCCTGCAATTACTTAAAACTGGATACTGTGGTTGGTAAAATAGCTTATAAAACATGGATAATCATAGCCTTATATAGTGAGGTATTACTGTATGTGTTGTGCTACTGTCAGATGCATTTATTGTCTTTACTTGGGAGAGAAAAAGGAATGTTTGATAACTCATTGTATTTTTTCTCAAGGTTTTCTGTCCTTGGAGAAAAATAAATCTCAGACTTGAGCTCATCTTATCAGGGCCAGATCCAGACTTCAAATTCGACTGATGCAATCTTTTAGTTTTTGTAGTTGTGGCTAACCCAGATTATAAAAAAAAGGGAATTTTTACGACTCACTCCGCAACACCTTATTTTTAATCAGTTATTAACTATTTACTTGGATAAATGTATATTTGGCCAGATATTTCAGCCTATATTTTTTCATATAATAAAATGAAGTAAGACTGTATATACCTAGTTATATTGATATTACACAATACTGTACTGTTTATGCAATATAGCTTTGTACAGTATGTATACTAACAGACACACACACACACACACACACACACACACATACACACATCAATAAGCATTAAATGTACTTAAGATAATTACCGTATATTCTCGTCTATAACCAACCCTCGTTTATAGGTCGACCCTGATTTTTTTTACCAAGAAACCGTTAATTTACGATATTCCTCGTTTATAGTTCGACCCATGTTTTTGAGGGTAATGGAACAACAAACCCTTCACTAAAAATGCTCTACGTCCTATAAACTGAGGTTCGCCGTGCATGAACCACGAGTGCCGAAGGCAAATTGTTTACCATTTATTATTACGACACTTTACACTGAAACGCGGGTAGTTTCAACAAAAATATTGTATATTTCCATTCAAGTATTTATTCAAGTCAATTAGGAGGGAATATTATTGTAATACAACAGTTTTTTAACTAAACCATTCGAAAAGCGATTACGGTAACATGTTTTGAACGAAAGAAAGCGAAAGTCATTGCTTTCGTCACGATTTTATCCCACTTTCCTTTGTACAGGTAGTTCTGCTATAACGCGATAATTGTGTTCTTGTAAAATATCGTGTTATAGAAAATCGCGTAATAGAAATAACAGAGCTTATGGAGAAAATAGGGTTAGGTGCAGATTACTCGAAATCGAAAAAATTTAGTAGTTAGCCTAACACAAAGGATAGCACAGTCTAAATAAATGTTACATTCATATCTAATAATGAAATCATACAGTAAATTTAACACTTTACCTTGAAAAAATATGAATGTAACTTGATGGGGAGAAGGGTGATTTTGAGGTTGATAACATCGAGCTTCTCTTCAAGTGTTATATCCTTTCTTTTACGATAATCACCGGGAATTCTATCATCAGAACGCTTTTTGGAGATATTCTTCTTTACCATATTCACAGTTAATACCACAAAATTGGAGAAATAGTAAGCAAAAATCGCGTTATAGCAAACAAGCGTTCGCGTTATACAAATATTGTTCCGAATTCATAAATCGCGTTAGAGCAAATTCGCGTTATCAAAACACGCGTTATAGCAGAACTCACTGTAATACGCACGTAATTTCAGCAAATATATTACAAGCACAGTATGAATAGAATATCATTGTAATATAACAGAATTTTAACCGAAAACTATTAAAAAAACGAGTAACATCTCAAGAACAGAAGCGTAGGTAAAGTCTTTTGTTTTCGTCATGTATTTTATCCTATTTTACATTGAAATACATCACGTTTCAGCAAAACTACTATTTATTTCCGAGAATATATTCATTGAGGCGCAGTTTAGGTAAAATATACGTGTGATGTAATAGTTTTTTAACTGAAAACGATTCGAAAAACACGTACCCTCTAGCCCTGTTCAAGGAGAGGACTGGGAGAAGCTGTTTGATGCTGCAGACGATGACAAGGAAAATGATTTTGATGGATTTTAATGAAAATATTCAGAAATATGGTATCGTAGTATTTATTCAAGTCAATTAGGATAGAATATTATCGTAATACAACAGTTTTTTAACTGAAAACCATTCGAAAAGTGATTACGGTAACATCTTTTGAACGAAAGAAAGCGAAAGTCAATGCTTTCGTCACGATTTTATCCCACTTTCCACTGTTATATGTACGTCATTTCAGCAAAAATATTACATTTCCGTGAATGCATTATATCAAGCACAGTATGAATAGAATACCATTGTAATATAACAATATTTTAACCAAAAACTATTAAAAAAACGAGTAACTTCTTTTGAACATCGGAAGGTTAGGTAAAATCTTTTGTTTTCGTCATGTATTTTATCCTATTTTACATTAAAATATATCACGTTTCAGCAAAACCACTATTTATTTCCGAGAATATATTCATTCAGGCGCAGTTTAGGTAAAATATACGTGTGATGTAACAGTTTTTTAACTGAAAACGATTCGAAAAACACGTGTACCGTCTAGCTGATACAGCTGGTGGTGCGTGATGAGTCATGCGTCATTGTAAACAATAGGAGGTTGAAGTAGATTACCGGGTATTATATTAAGTGTGAAATATCGAAAAGGTTTTTAATACCGGTATTTTTTGTAGATCAATGAGAACTGTGATACCGTATATGATATGATAAGTTAGCCTGTGCTAAGAACTTCAACATAGACTACTGAAAGCACGTTGTAAAGTAATTTACCCTATTGTAAGTTGGTGAGCTTCATTTACTGAAGGAACTGCACAACTTTTCATTACTAATTGGTACATATTTTACGTTTCCATTGTTTACTGGCAGTAAATGGTAAATATTTTTCATGTCTGAAGCTAAAAGTTGCTCCTCGCCCTTCCCATCATGCACGGGTTCAACCTAACAAAACTATTACGCGTGTATAGGACGACCCCCAATTTTTTGCCTAAAAATTTGGTCTTAAAAACTCGAACTATACACGAGTATATACGGTATAATATGTCATAATTTTTCATGATGTCAATTACAGTAGTTCCTTCCTACAAGGAAGTACCTTAGCAAACTTGTTCACATCAAGTTCCATGGAATAGCGAACATTCATGAGAGCAAGTCCATTGAAACAATCTTGGCCTATCGTATTTCTGAGATAGGTTTTGAGCCGCCTTAGTGTTGAGACAGTGTGTTCACAATCGTATCACCTGAACTCCACCTGGGATTCCCCTTTGAGGCATCACCACACCCTCAGATGGTAAACTATACATATCTTTGTCCTATGTATCAAACCATAGTGTTATTAATTCAGTAAGCCAGGATCTTGGTGTAAATATTGCCTTCAGATATACTTCCACCCTTAAATCTATGTTGGTAAGAAATAAAACTATCAGTGATTCTACAGCTGGTGTGTGCAGGATTCCAGGAAAGGAATCCTGGCGGTGAATGTGTTACCTGCAGGGCCAGATTAACCATAAGGCTGTAGCCATAGGCCCCTGAGTTTAGGCCTTAATTTGTGTTTCTTAAACTTGAATTGTTTCTTAAACTTAAATAATTGTTTCTTAAACTTAAATCTTTGTTACAAGTTCACATCTTCACAAGTTGGTTAAGTAATTGACTTTTGTTATGTTTAAGAAGGCTATATGGTTATTATATACTGTATACTAGATTAAATACCCCCTTCTTTATGCATATAATATATGGTATTACAGTATGCCCTTAAAATTTGCAGGGTTTAGGTTCTCAAAATGGGCTCAAATAGAGAAATCCTACTGCGTGAAAGATTTAGGAGTAATGATAAGTAGGAATCTTGAACCAAGTCAACAATGTGTAAGCTACAAGACTAGCAAGGTCATTTTAAAACTATATCTTGGGCTTGTGAGACCTCACTTGGGTTACTCAGTTCAGTTCTGGTCACTGTACTACAGAATGGATACAGAATCCCTAGAAAGAATTCAGAGGAAAATGACAAGACTAATCCCAGGAAATAGGAACCTTGAGTACAGAGACAGGTTAAAACATCTTAATTTGCACTTCCTCAAGAGACATAGAGTGAGGGGCGATATGATCGAGGTGTATAAATTGAAGTCATTGCTAAACAAAGGTGATATAACAAAGGTACTCAAACTATCCAACCAGGAGCGAACTCGTACCAAATTTAGATTTAGGCACGAGATAGGTAAACATTGGTTTGGAAATAGAGTAGTGGACGAATGAAATAATTTACCAAATATCATCATTAACTCAATACGCTGGATAGCTTCAAACATAGGTTGGATGGATATATGAGCAATAGGGGTTGGGTGTAAACGGGACTGCCCAGTATGGGCCAATAGGCCCGCCGCAGTTTCCTCCTTTCTTATGGTCTTAAATAGCCAAATCCGTGAGCAACATTTGCTGTTGGGGGTTACATTTTTACTTTTGTACAAAGAAATGTATATTCCCTTTGTGTATTTGCCCTTAGGATAATTATTCTTTTATCTGTATTGTATATATGTGTGTGTGTGTGTGTATGTGCACCACACACACATGAACACACAATACAGGTAAAAGAAATTACTGTCTCTAGAATGAATGGCTCCCTGCCCCGGCCGCAAAAATGCCAGCAACTTTAAAACTACCCTTAGACATTCTTGGGTACATCCATGGTGTCATCCACAAATTGTCAGGGCATGCTGTACATATGAATATATAGACCCTTCCCTCTTATCAGGGGCCTACCTCACAACTTTAATCCTACCCTGGTTACCTGACATTGTCAAAGGTGACCGATGTGTGATGCCCCAAGGGGGGAATCCGGCTGGAGTTTAGGTGATGTGGATGAGGAGGTGATGTGATTGTAACCTTACCTATGACTTTATCCCACCCCCAGGCCCTGCTCCGATTATCCCATGCCTGGGGACAGTTTGTCAAACCTGCCACTCAGGTACGGAAAGTGACAGCTAGGGTCAGAAGCTGGTGGGCCATGTAGGTCAACACTGACAATGAGAGCACGTTATCGACAGGTCAATTATTTTACCGATGCATATGATACCTTTGCATTGGTCAGAATTTTTTGAGCAATGCAAGTGCATCATCCTGGATCTAGCCCTGCTCATCTAGGCAAGTGCAATTCTCTGAACATTTTTGGATATTGGTCATATTTGCTAATATTTTCTTAAATATTTACAGAAAGACACAGAGATCTACCAGAATGCAAAGATTTTGGAGGATTTCTTTGAGCAGCTACTGGAAAAGTGGCTAACAGCATATGCTTTTGATGCCATGGACACAATGGATGAACCAGATACCCCAGAGCCAAAGAAGAAGAAGAAACTGAAAGAAGGCGACCCCTTACTTCACATTCACTGAAGTCACGACAATGGGTGATGTTGGTCTTTGAGCACGTACATTATTTGGTCTAGATTTATGCAAATGTACTACTGAGTGTCTGTTGCATTTGCTGTCAACATGATTGTCTTGGGTAACTATCTGGTGTTTTATGAAATGCCTATATACATTTGTAAATGTAAAAAATGTGTCTTAGCATAGAGGAAGACATGAGTGGCAAGCACAAGATCAGATGATCTGTATAGTGTATTTTTTGATGTTTTGTGCCTCAGACTACAAGGATACTACATCAGACACATCAGACTTCGGTTTTGGAGAATCTTCTACTCTCCAAATTTGGTTACCACACATTTAATTATTGTTTCACAAATTAGGAGCCAGAAGCTTATTCATGACCAAAGTTGATCTGTAACAATGAGTTTGTATTTTTTTATTGAATTTTCAACTTTAAAGTGGAATAGATCTTGTCATTTTTGCACAACCTTTTGCTCAATAGCACCAAGTTTTCACTTTACACAATAAAAGCAAAAAGCTTAAGGTGGGTAGCTATTCAAGAAATAAATAGGTACAGTATACAATACTGTACACAGCAAAATTTTAAATAAGTCTACAAAATTTGAGGGATGAACTCCAAATAATTCTGTCATTATTTTTTTTTTTTTTTAGTGAGAATATTTGGTCTGTTCTCCTCAATACATATTTCAGTTTGTGCTGAAAATTGCATGAAAATTTTGGGGTGTAAGTGGTTGATCTTGGTGTCACAGAGCCTTTCCTTAAAAGTTTGGCTACAGTAATACCATAGCCTGATAAATTTACAGTCTTGAGAGTAGTATGCATTGGTGCCTAAAAATTTTCTCTTCCTATATTTGTTTCATTGCAATTGATGAGAACTGTGATGTAAGATTCCCTCAACACTGATAGGGTGTGCATTAATGTGTTTGTCTCAGTTACCCATTTCAGTACGGATTATTTTATTCAACTGCGAATACATATTGAATTTTACTCAACAATATTTTATATTTTTTTATATAAATTGCATAATAATTTTGATTTTGATCATGTCGTGTTAGCTACAGGACAGCCAAGTTAAAATCAAGGTATAGTTTACACCAATATTTGGCACTCCAGGTTTTTTGTTTATTACTTATTGTTGGATGTTTTAAACATAATTTTCTTGGTTGTGACAAGAGAGGAAGTTAGATTGGGATATTATGTGTATTGGATGATGCTTGAATTAAAATGATTACAAGTGAAAATTATTAATATGTATTAAACAAACTTTTATCACAACAATGTTAATGCCTCCATATGACATGGGGTTTCCTTTTCTACACAAAACTGGTGGTGCAAAAGAACGTTCCATGCACATCTTCAGTCTGTGAACAAGAACTTTGCAAATTTTATTACAGGGTATTATTATTATTATTATTATTATTATTATTATTATTTTTATTAAAAAAAAAGTTGTTTACATGAACTTTAGACCCTGTTGTTTGCTGGGCAAACAGAATAGTGTGATCCCTGCTAACATCATTAGCAGTCATAATTACATTGTCTGTCTTTAGTAAAATAAGGTACTTTCAGGCACAATGGAATCGAGATATATATATATATATATATATATATATATATATATATATATATATATATATATATATATATATATATATATATATATATATATATATATATATATATATATATGCATGCTTCTGGTAACTATTACCAGCTCCATGCTTGGTGATTATCTCTCCAAACCCAAGAATAAAGCTTGGCTCACTATCTGTTGGTTCAGCCAAAGATCAAATCCAATTCCTCATGTTAACATGCTTGCCACTTGCAACAGGGCGGTAATTCGGTACCGTATCATATACAGTGGTCCCTCGGTTAACGAACACAATTTTGTTCCAGAGTCGTTCGTTAACCGAATCTATTATTTCAGTGGGATATTGGGTAATTGGTTCCAACTCACAGAAAAAGTATACATACAAAGTACTGTATACCGGTAATAGAATTAACAAGACATTAAATATAAACTAAATACAGTACTGTACTGTACAGTATACTGTGAAATAATAAACACTAGAATACAGTATTGTATTTTAACTTACTTTGAGGTGTGTATGTCGTATTCCCGGCACCTTTATTTACATATCAAACAGCTGATTGTAGAGGCAGTCGATGATGACATGCCATATTCTTTACAGATTACATTGGTTCTAATGCCTTCTTCGTGTTTCATAATAATTTCTGCACTGTATATTATCAATATGTTAACTAAATTTCAGATTGACCAATAATTTTAATATAAAACATGCAGAAATATTCGAGACCAACTTTCTTGATATTTACTCCACTGGAAATGAATGTAAACATACAACTGATTACTGTATTGGCGGACTGGCTGATCATCTGATCAGCTGATGCGCACAACAAAACGTGTTTATCGTAAGGATTTTGTTAATCGAGGTTTTGTTCATTAATCCAACTGAAAATCCTTATGGGAAGTAATTCGTTACAACCAAAATTTCGTTAATCAAACTGTTCGTTAACCGAGGGACCACTGTATATTGAGAACTGCACATCAAGCATTGAAAGATACAAAATTTTAAATTATATTTAAAATTCTCATAGTTCCACCCAATAGCATATTCAGACAGGAGAAGCTTGGAGGAACCATAATGAGTCAGTATTGTAATAAATACTGTACTATGCAAGTAATTTGCTCGTCAATATTCAGTAAATAGCAATATTGTAACTGTTTTAGTGATGTATACATTTCCATTGACTCTCTATTTGTTTCAGTTTACAGTAGAGCTTGTTAAGTTCTTCTATCAGCGAACAGGCCATGGGATTCTTAGTAACTTGCCTGTTTTCTGCATCCTAAGTGATAATTTTTTTCTTAAAATTTTGTAGTCACATATGACTTAATCACTACTGCACCATTCAAAAAGAGTTTCGAAATGGGTGCTGAACTTAAATTGAAAGAACTTAAGGTTTGGTGGGTTATAATTGTTTACTCATTCATCAAAAACATTGTCGTAAATAATTGTAAAAAGTTGATGCCTTAATTATAACTACTTGCATACTTTCACTATCTTTATTTGTATTGTTATTGCCGGTAAACCAAAATTTTATTTTATTGTCAGATTAATTAGCACAGATGAGACATCTACTCATTTTAAATTTTTAGTTGCAGTACTTTGTGGCATCCACTATATTATGACAAGGCCAGATAACTTAGTGTGATGAACGTGCTCCTGTATACAGTATTACTTGATATTAAGAACTAGGGGAGATGTACAACCTGGATTGTGTTAATATAGATAATATTTTCCTCCTAGCAGAGGTAATGAAATTTGTCTGTCAGTGTGCATGGTTGTAGACTGTGACCCTTATGATCACAATGAAAATATAATTTTCAATATCTTTTACTAAAAAGTATTCCGTATTGAATATATATATATATATATATATATATATATATATATATATATATATATATATATATATATATATATATATATATATATATATATATATATATATATAAACTAATGTTTTAGTGGCAGTCATGGAACAATATATTGAAGACTTTTGGATAGGGCCTTTGTTTCCATTATGTAAATATTATATTTAATACTTCCGTTGGAAAATTGCAAAAAAACAGGAGAGGACTAGTTTTGTAAAATAATATTGATATTTGTTCTCATTGCAGAGCAAACACTTTATCTGTATTTATTTTCATACCTCACTGCATCTTGACATGCATGATAACTGTGTCACTAACTGATTGAATACAGTACAATAATCAATGTTTTATCTGTAGAAAAAATTATAAAACAATAAAATGCTGTTACTTTAATGAGCATGACTGGCTCCAAATTGTTTTGCCTAAAAAAAATCTTTATTTTAGGTGGTATTTGTGGTTTCAAAGTATCAAAACAAACTTGCAGCATTGCTATGTCCAGGGGGAGGTGTAGTAGTAAACCTTTCTGATAAATGAGATACTGTAATGTTTTTTGTACTTATTCTGTTAAATATGAAGAAAAGGATTTAATATGTACACGTGAGATGGAAAAGGTTTGTTTGCTTCTTCAGCTGTGGAAATAAAGTATCCATACATATTATTTGCTTCCTATATATGTTATTTGCACCTAGTGGCTCAGTGCTAGGACAAAATTATTTATTTATATTAAGATAACCCATATACTCCTGTACAGAATCTCTTGAATCATTGAAGGAACTTGGTATGACACCATTTAGCCAATCAGATTCTATCAGATGTAATGGTTCTTTCACCCCTTTATTCCTACACCATAATAGTCTTATAATATACCAGTTTCTTGTCTGTAGGCAAAATTAAGTATTGTAATTTGCATTGGACTCCGTGCTATCCCAGCATTAGATGACAAAGATGATAGTGGATTAGAAACAGTGTAGTTGTTCATCCGTTAGACAAACATGGTGTGATATCTGATCTTGCAAAATGATGGATTATAAATTTTACTCTTTTCTTTATTTATTGTCGATTGATTTTTTATGAACAATTTAGGGCTGATATAACTGGTGTAATGAGTCACAAGCACTGGGTGCAGCTTATTGTTGTACATTAAGACCAAACCATCTGGTTAGTATAACTAGAATTTTTTTTCTTTTTTTTTATTGACTATACTGAAAGTAGCAAAAGCCCCAAGAGTATATCAACTTACACTGGAAGCGTTAACAAGCTTTCCTTGCCCTCCTGTAGTATATGTGAGCAGCAATGTAAATGTAGCAATTGTGGATTTTCTTATGTATAGAAAATTTTATCTGCTGTTCTTAAAGGTAGATGATGATCATGTCTCCAAGATTAATATTATAGAAGAGGTGGCGCATTTACTATGATGAATATTGGCTAAATTAATGTATTTGCCTTGATTTTTTCTGTCATAAGATTTAAACCGAAAACTTGTGAAAAAGCTGTAAAGGAGGATTATAGAATAGGACTTGGTTGCATCCTGTATTTCAGAACTGTAATGAAGTATGTTGCAGCTCTTTATTATAAATATATTTAAGCTCTAAAAGGTGTTTCACTTTACTCAACTACTTTAGTAAGAAAGTTTGGTGGATTAAATTGACTTGTGGGAAAAAACGCAATCAACTGATCACCGATTTTCTCTTACTTGGCAAATACAGCATTAATTTTCCTTACGTGGTGTGGAATAGGTCATACATACAGTGTATATAAGTTATCTATTCAAATATATTGCTCAGTTCATACAGTTATTACACAGCTAATGCAAAACAAGACTTGATAATTTCATATCAGGGAGCTGATAACTGTTAACTTTAAATATAGAAAGCTATTTAAAAAAAAAACAGAATTCCATTGCTATGTATAATGCAGAACCATAAAACTTACATAACAGCATATGTATTACTGTTATGTATTATACATCCCTTGGTGCAAGCACTCCTGAAGACACTTCAAGTAACCTATTACTGAATGTTTAAACAAAGAATTCACACAATTAAAACATCTTAATACATACAAGTTACATGTACACATACAGTATATGCTAAAGCACCAACTCTATGCTAATAAACATTAAAAACTTTTCTACAAAACAATGTACTTTGATTCATGACCAGGATTTCATATTAACAAAATTATAATTATT